TATAGCATTTCTTTGATATAGAAATATTTCTCTTTATTTAATCATAGGGAGACAGTATGAGTATGATCTTTAAGTACTCAAATACTGGAACCAGACTTCTTGGGTTTAATCCCTGTTCTGTATCTTAGTTCTTTGAGTAGGTTATTTAACCCCTCTGTGCCTCCATTTCCCTATCTAATATAGGGATAAAATAGTACTTGCTTTAAGTCCTTCACAGGGTTACTGTGAGCATTAAATGAGTTATTCCATGTAAAGCACTAAGAAGAAGGCTACGTATATATGAGTTAGCTACTATAGTGTATGGAAATGCGGTTGTGAAATCAGGGTTCTGTTCTTTGAGAAATTCTGAAATATGATTATCACTAATTTCCCTAGTTTCCTAATGGAATTTGGCTCTGCAGAAAGAGTAATAAATAATCAATATAAGATAATGATGGCATTAATGACTTCTTTTAAGATTCTAACCAGAATCTGAAAAATTTTCTAATTTAAGTGACATATCTTCAAAAACGTCTTACTAGTGTACATTGTTTTCACAGCTTTTCTCTGAGTTATACTTCAGATACAATAAACTGTACATATTTAAAGCATACAATTTTATTAGTTTTGATGACTTTATACACACCTATGAAACCATCACAATTGAAATAGTAAGTATATCCATTACCTACAAAAATTTCTTCATGTCCCTTATTAATCCATCCTTCTCACCCCTCCCTGCCCCATCCCAAGGCATCACTTATTTGCTGTCACTATATATTTGTTTGCATTTTCTAGAGGTTTTTAAATATATGGAATCATATAGTATATACTTTTATTTTTTTTAGCCTGGCTTCTTTCAGCATAATTATTTTGAGATATATCCATGTTATTACTTGTAACATAACTCATTCCTTTTTATTGCTGAGTAGTATTCCATTGTGTGTGTGTGTATATATATACATATATATACCCCATATATATATGTGTGTGTGTATTTATTACTTGTAACATAACTCATTCCTTTTTATTGCTGAGTAGTATTCCATTGTGTGTGTGTATATATATATATATACATATATATACCCCATATATATATATGTGTGTGTATACACACACACACACACACACCACAATTTGTTTACTCATTCACCTGTTGATGAACATTTGGGTTGTTTCCAGTGTGGCTATATTAAAAATAAATTTGCTTTTCAAGTGCAAGTCTTTGTATGGGTGTATGCTTTCATTTATCTTGGGTAAATTCCTAGGAGTAGAATGGCTGGGTCATGCGGTAGATGTTTGTTTAACATTGTAAGAAACTGCCAAACTGTTTTCCAGAGTAGTTGGACCATTTTACATTCCCACTACTGGTGTATGAGACTTCTAGTTGTTCTGCAACCTCACCAGTATTTGGAATAGCTGATATTTTTAGTTTGAGCCATTCTAATAGATATGTAATGGTTTCTAACTGTGGCTTGAATTTGCATTTCCTCAATGATTAATGGTGTTGATCATTATGTCATGTAGTTATTTACTGTTGTATATCTACTTTGGTGAAGTGACTATTTAGACCTTTTGCCCATTTTTAAATTGTTTTCTTATTGAGTTTTGAGAGGTCCTTATTATTGCATATTTTGGATATAAATCCTTTATCAGATATATGCTTTGCAAAGATTTTTCTCCTGGTCTGTTATTTGTCTTTTCATTATGTTAACAGTGTTTTTAAAAACTGTGTTTAATTAAAAACTGTAGAAGTTTTCAATTTTGATGAAGTTCAGTTTGTCAATCTTTTTTTTTTTTTTTTTTTTAAAGATGACCAGTAAGGGGATCTTAACCCTTGACTTGGTGTTGTCAGCACCACGCTCACCCAGTGAGCAACCGGCCATCCCTATATGGGATCCGAACCCGTGGCCGTGGTGTTATCAGCACCGCACTCTCCCGAGTGAGCCACAAGCCGGCCCCAGTTTGTCAATCTTTTATGCCTTGTGCTTTTGGAGTGATATCTAAAAAAATCTTTGCCTATCTCAGGGTCACAAAGATTTTCTCCTATCTAGAAGTTTTGTAGTTTCAGATTTTACATTTACGTCTATGATCCATTTTGATATGCTTTTTGTAAATGGTGTGAGATATTTATTGAAGTTTTTATTTTTGTTCTTTCATGTGGATATCCAGTTTTTCCAGTGCTATTTGTTGAAGACTCCTTTTTCCCACTGAACTGCCTTTACATCTATATCAAATTTAGGTTGTTCATATGTATTTGGGTTATTTCTACAATTTCCATTGATCTATTTGTGTGTCTTGATTCCAGTACTACATAGTTTTGTTACTGTAGCTTTGTAACAAGTTTTGAAATCAGGTAGTGCTAGCCCTTCTACTTTGTTTCTTTTCAGTGTTGTTTTAGCTATTATAGGTTCTTGCATTTCCATATGAATTTTAGAATTAGCTTGTCACACTTTGCAGAAAAAGCCTGCTGAGATTTTGATTGGGATTGCATTGAATCTATATAGCTCAATTTTTTGAAACTTGCTATCTTAAGAACAGGTCTTTTAAATTTCTATCAGCAATATTTGATCGTTTTCAATATACAAGGCTTTCATTAGATTTGTCTCTAAGTATCATATTTTTTGATGTTCATATAAATTTTTTTTTAAATTTTAATTTCTGGTTGTTGTTAACATAAAAATACAGTTGATTGTAGATTCCATTGAATTTTCTTTTTCTTTCTTTTTTTTTTTTTGTCTTTTTTTCGTGTCCGGCAACGGATCGCAACCCTCAGTGTCGTGCCCGCACCGGACCAGGACCGGCAACGGGATCGCAGCCCTCGGCGTTGCCCCCGTGCCTCGCTCAGCCAGTGAGCGGGAACCGGTCTGTATGTGGGATCCGAACCCTCGGTGGGAGCGCCTCCGCGCTTCCCAAGCGGCGCACTATAGCAGTGCGCCACCGGGCCGGCCCCTATAGGTTTTTTTAATAGATGTTCCTGATTAGGTTGAGAAAGTTCTCTTCTGCTCCTAGTTTGCTGGAAATTTTATCAGAAATGAATGTTGAGTTTTGTCAAAGGTGTTTTTCTGTCTCTATCCAAATGATTATATGGTTTTACTTTTTTAGTTTATTAATATTATTACTACATTTGATATTCTAGTTTTAAGCCAATTCTACATTCCTGGGCTAAGCCCTACTTGGTTACAATGTATTATTGTTTTATATATTGTTGGATTCAATTTATTAATATTTTGTTAATTTTTTTGTGTGTATTTATGAAGTATTAGTCTCTAGTTTTCTGGTAATGTCTTTGTCTGGATTAGTATCAGTGTAATGCTGGCTTCAAATAATGAATTGGGAAATATTTGTTCTTTGATTTTTTTGTTAGTTTGTTTAAAATCGCTATTACTTTTTCCTGTTTTGTAGAGTTCATCAGTGAAGCCTTCTGGGCCTGGAAGATTTTTAACTACAAATTCAGTTTCTTTAATAAATATAGAGGTTTTCAGGTGCTTTTTTCTGTGCTTTGTAAAGTTGTGTCTTTTAGAGAATTTGTCCATTTCACCTCATTTGTCAAATATAGGCAACAAATTGTAATAGTTCCTTAGTATCCTTATAATATCTGCAGATTCTAATAATGTTACCTCTCTCATTTATGAAATTGGCAAAATTCTGTTATTAAGGACTTATGCTTTGGATTGTTATGTAGTTTTGATTAATTGGCCCCTTTATCATTGTGAAATGACCACTTTTATACTAATATTATTCATATCACTTTTATAATATTATTACCAGGTATAAGATATTTAGGGTGTTTTAAGATGTTTAGGTGATAGTAGGCATAGGTATTTTTCTAACATCTGTCTGACATTGAAATAATAAGTTCAACTTTCTTTTTATTAGTATTAGCTAGTGTATCTTTCCTGTCCTTTTACTTTTACTTGTTTTGTGTTTTTATATTTAAAATGCATTTTTTTTAGGCAGCAATTAGTGGGGTCTTCCTTTTTTTTTTTTTCCTTTTTGTCTTTTTTCGTGTCCGGCAACGGACCGCAACCCTCAGTGTCGCGCCCGTACCGGACCGGGACCGGCAACGGGATCGCAACCCTCGGTGCTGCTCCCGCCCCTCGCTCAGCCAGTGAGCGGGAACCGGTCTGTATGTGGGATCCGAACCCTCGGCGGGAGCGCTGCCGCGCTCCCAAGCGGCGCACTGTAGCAGTGCGCCACCGGGCCGGCCCATGGGGGTCTTCCTTTTTTATCTAATCTAACAATCTCCAAATTGGGATGCTAGACAATTTACATTTAATATGATTACTGATATGGTTAGGTTTATGTCTGTCATCTTGTAATTTGTTTTCAGTTTGTCCCATCTGTTATTTGTTCCTCTTTTCCTTGTTTTCTGCTGCCTTTTTGATTGAATAGTTTTTACCTTTTTTGTTGGCTTATTGGCTATTACCAGTCTTAACTCTCAGAGAATATGATTAAATTGACTTACTAGGGTTAAGCACATGTATCAGTTTCTTTAAAGGATCCCCAGATTGTGAACCACCTGAGTAGATGAGCTCTATTATTACTTCCAACTTATTAGTTATGTGACTTTGAGCAAGTTATTTGACTTCTCTCAATTCAATTTCCTCATCCATAAAATGGATTTAATAAAATTGAATAGTACCATGTTCATATGGTTCAAAATTCAAAAGGTACAAAAAGATTCAATGTATACTCTTTCATACTTTTTATTTTTTAATCATAAATAAAGTTTGTATTAAGTAGATAATTTAAGTAACATTTTCAAAAACTACTCAGAATGAAAGAAGGTTTTTTTCCTCACAACTATTGAAAACTCTTTTAAAAACCTAGTTTCTTGAGTTGTTATTATGATTTACATTATAATTTTAAAATTTAATATATTTATGGTTTCTAGAGAAAAGCAAAAATATGTCAGATTTTTCTCAGTGAATAATAGGACTTTTCAGCTTGACTTCAGAACTGGAGTATGATTTATGAAATCAATTTAACGCATTTTTTTGTGTGTGCCTTTTCTACAGGTTTTGGTTCCCACCATGGCCATCACACAATTTCGGTTATTTAAAGTTTGTACCTGCCTAGCAACAGTATTCTCATTCCTAAAGAGATTAATATGCAGGTAAATAAATTTTATGTTTAAACTGACCTGTTTATCTCCTTGCTGGTTTTGGATAGCTTTATAACTTCAAAAAGGCAGGACAGATTATATTTAATTATATTTCATTGCAATATTCATTCGTTAATTCCTAATATTTTTAAAATATTTTTTTCTCTACTTCAGATCTAGAAAGTAGAAGATGTTGACCTAAAAGAAACTGAGGCCAAACCTACAAAGCATAGGATTTATTGAGCCAATGGGACGATTGCAACTGGGGAATTGCATAGGTTAGGTCACTGCAAGGAATGCACCCCGAAGAGGGCCAGCAGAGCTTAGCATTTTATACTCACAGAAGGGGGAAGAATCAAAGGAGAGAGAACAGCCCCACCTAGTCACTTCATCAGTTTTTCTGTTGGCTGTACATGACGTGTAGATTTGGAATTGTTATCAGATTTTATTCTATATACAGAGATCTAGGGTAAGGATTACAAGAAGCATTCTGGGTCATTTTATGACTTCCTGGTGCCATCACGTCTGCTTCTAAGTAAAAATGGCTTTAAGATAATGTTTTCCAGGAAATGCAGATGTGACTACTGACTTATCCCAGATCTCCAAAGCCACTATGATTTAGATGACCTGGTCACAATAGATTTTTTTTATTAAGGTTCAGTTGTCTTTGTTCTTTCAAATTCTTACATCTTTCATTAAAATTAAAATAACATACTTAATACTACAGAATTTCAGAAATAAGCAAACTAACTTTATTATCATCACAGAGCTTTTATATATATGTTTCATTATCAGAATGTTTTAAGGTGTTTAGGTGAAATTAGGCATAGGTATTTCTGTCTATACTATAATATCAATGTTATTTTTATATTTAAAAAAAAAAAAAACACTTTAACAGAGAAACCCTAAACAAAGTAGGGTTTTTTTTTCCCTCCTTTTAAATAACATTCTATAATATAGAGGTAGTCTAGGGCAGGTAAATCATGCCACTTCAGTAGGTCATCTATAGCCTCCAGTTCTTTCAGTCTTGTCACAGGGCCATACATACCCTACAGCTGTGGTATCTAAGCTATGTGCTGAGGTGCCCAGGGCTTCTCATGAAATTCACAGGGATGCCATAGGATATTTTAAATTTTCCAACAAAACACAGTGATAGTGATAGTCAATGTCTGTTGAATACTGCACAGACACCTAATTCAAGGGAGTTCACATTTGCAACATCATTAGATCTTGCAGCTTTCCTTATGATGATGTTCTCAAATGTTTGAGGTAAAAGTTTTGTTTACTTGTATTTTTGGTGACATGTCATTGCAAAACTAGGATTTCAGGTTGTAATTAAAACCAAGTATTGCAGCAAAGTTAAGGTAGAACAAAAAAATGAGAGTGGCAGTCTCCAGTCTGACTCCAAGCCTTGAGAAGCTATGTAGAGTCCAATAGGCACACACGTACGATTAGTACATAATTGTAGTTATTTAAGGATGATGTAAAAATATTACTTTTTTAAAAATTTATGTGTCTTTTTTCAAATGTCTGCTAAGCAGTTAGAACATACAGTAAGTCATTTGGGCCTAAGTACTTAATCAGAGAACTGTTAGGTATTTCTTTTGGCCTAGTGGTACTGTGAAAAAGTCACTGACAGACTAAGAGTAGTGTAGAGTAAGACAGGAAATGGACAGCAATCAGCTCTTTTTTCAGTAAGACATGATTAAGAAATTACACACAATTCTGTTCACAGCCTACTGTCAAGAGCTTAGTCATATGGTCACCTAGCTGCAAGGAAAGCTAGGAGGAAATGTAATATCTGGCTAACTGACCATTTGATAGCTGCTAAAACTCCAAGAATTAAGTGCCATTGAGTTTATCATTAGCAGTCCAGTGGTCAAGGATTTTTTCAAAAAAGGATCCAGGTTATTGCAATGGGAACTAATGGATGAAATAGAGTAGAGATGTTCACTGGAGGAGGAGAGGTCAAAAAAGAAATGGAAAAATTAGGTGGTTAACTGTTGAAATCACCCAAGAGGACAGGATTTGAAAAGATGAAAAACGGGTGAACTAAGTGCTAACATCATCAGAAAATGAGGAGGAATGGCCAGCAATTCACTAGGTAAAGCAATAAAAGAATGAATACCAATTTCCAGAAGGCAGGAGGTCAAAGGAAAAATTGTGTTAACAGACGTGACAAATTATAGGTGTTTTTGTTTTTTCATCTGTACTTTCTAAAACTCCTGTTCAGTATAGATTACTTTTAGATTAAGAAATTGCATTTGATATTAAGGAATTCCTTTTGTCACTATAAATTTCTATTGTTGATGTAAATATGTTCAGGATTGATTATATGTTCAGCTTTAAAGAAAACTGACCCTTTGTTAAGATAAGCTTCTCTTAAGTGTCAGAAGGTACCTAGATCATATGTTTTCAAAAGGCAGGCTTATCTCATAAATTTTGTAATAAACTATCTTACTTTTCTATTTGTCCTTTAAACAAAGTATAACTTCTAATCTAATCTGTAATAAAAATAACTGATTTTACCAATTAGCTCAAGATAGAAGCTTAATAGATTACTTGAAATAAAGCAAATGACTAATCATTTATAGTAGCTATCATTTTTTGAATGTCTTGCTATATAGTAGACACTGTCTAGGTGCTTTAAATATGTTACTTGGTTAAATCCTCATAAGAACCCTACCAAAAGTATGTTTAAATACCTGCATTTTACAAGTGATGATATTGAGGCTGAAAAGTTAGGTAATTCTAATTAGACTCAAAAGAAGTAAAATTGAAAACTATATTTTACATAGATTCCACGGCCCACTTTCTTAACAACTGAGTTATACTACATCCTGTTTAATATACTGCTTTTTCTACTAATCTTTAAAACTCAGCTATAGTCTAGTTTAACCGGAATTTTTCAAATTTTTTAAAACTTAAAAAAAATTATTTTTATTTTGTTAAAAATATTTAAACATTTACTTCTACATATTTGTGGGATATAGTATGTTGTTTCAATACATGCATATACTGCACAATGATTCACCTAGGATAGATAGCATCGTTTCATACCCATTACTCTACCACTTTTCCTCATTCCTCCTGCCCCCCACCCCCACCCCGGTAAATGTTATACTCTGTACTTCTATGAAAACCACTTTTTTTTTAGATTCCATATGTGAGTGATATGCATTATTTGTCTTTTTTTGCCTGACTTACTTCACTTAACATAATGATTTCCAGTTCCATCTATGTTGCTGCAAATGATAGGATATTATTTATTTTTAATAGCTGAGTAGTATTCCTTTGTTTATGTGTACAACAGATTTTTTTATCCATTCATCCATTGACAGATTTTAGGCTGATTCCTCTCTTGGCTATTATGAATAGTACTACAGTGAATGTGGGAGTGCAGGTGTCTTTTTGATATATTGACTTCATTTCCTTTGAGTATATATCCAGCAGTGAGATAGCTGTGTCATAGGGTAGATCAATTTTTAGTTCTCTGAAGAGCTTCCATACTGTTTTCCATAATGGCTGTACCAATTTACATTCCCCCAGCAGTGTAGGAGAGTCTCTTTTTCTCCATGTCCTTGCCAGTGTTTGTTATTTTTTGTCCTGTTGATAAGAGCCATTCTAACTGGAGTAAGATGATATCTCATTGTGGTTTTAATTTGCATTTTCTGGATGATTACTGATGTTGAGCATGTTTTCATGTGCTTGTTGGCCATTTGTAAGTCTTTTGAGAAATGTCTGCTCAGGTCCTTTACCCATTTTTTAATTAGGTTATTTTTGTTGTTGTTGTTGAGTCACTTAAGTTCCTTATATATTTTAGATATTAGCCCCTTGTCTGATGTGTAATTGGTGAACACTTTCTCCCATTGTGTAGTTGTCTCTTCACTTCGTTGAATGTGTCCCTTGCTGTGCAGAATCTTTTTAGTTTGATGTAGTCCCATTTATATATTTTTGCTTTAGTTGCCAGTGCTTTTGTAGTCTTGCTCAAAAAAGTGCTGCCCACTCCCATTTTGTGTAGTATTTCCACTGTGTTTTCTTCTAGTAGTTTCATAATTTTAGCTTTTAAATTTAGTTTGATCCATTTTGAGTTGACTTTTGTGTATGGTAAGAAATAAAGGTCTAGTTTCAATCTTCTGCATGTGGATATCCAGTTTTCCCAGCACCATTTGTTGAGGAGGCTATCCTTCCCCCATTGTATATTTTTGGTACCTTTGTCAAAAATTAGTTGGCTGTAAGTGTGTGGGTTTATTTTGGGGCTCTCTATTCAATTCCATTAGTTTGTCTGTTTCTGTGCAACTCCCATGCTGTTGTTGTTACTTTATGGTATACTTTGAAATCAGGAAGTGTGGTGCCTCCAACCTTATTCTTTTTGTTCCAGATTGCTTTAGCTATATGGAGTCTTTTGAGGTTCTGTGCAAATTTTAGGATCCTTTTTTCTATATCTGTGATGAATGTCATTGATATTTTGATAGGGATTGTGATTCACAACACAATCTACTCCTGCTCTCTTTTAGTAATGTGGACATTTTATCTACTCCTGCTCTCTTTTAGTAATGTGGACATTTTGGTCATGTTAATTCTTCTGACCCATGAACATGGGATATCTTTCCATTTATTTGTGTCCTCTTCAGGTTTTTTCACCTATGTTTTATAGTGTTCAATGTAGAGGTCTTCCACCTCCTTGGTTATATTTGCTCCTAGGTATTTCATTTTTTTGGTATCTATTGTGAATGGGATTGCTTTCTTGATTTCTTCTTCAGCCATTTTGTTGTTGATGTATAGGAAGACTATTGATTTTTGTGTGTTGATTTTGTATCCTTCCACTTTACTGAATTTATCAGTTCCAGTAATTTTTTGGTGGAGTCTTTAGGATTTCCTATGTATAGGATCATGTCATCCGCAAATAGGGATAGCTTGACTTCCTTCTTTCTAATTTGAATGCCCATTATTGCTTTCTTTTGCCTTATTGCACGGGCTGGAACTTCTGGCACTGTGTTGAATAAGAGAGGGGAAAGTGGGCATCCTTGTGTTGTTCCAGATCTTAGAGGAAAAGCCTATAATTTTTGTCCATTCAGTATGGTATTAGCTGTGAGTTTGTCATATATGACCCTTATTGTGTTGAGGTACATTCCTTCTATACCTAATTTGTTGAGTGTTTTTTATCATGAAGGGTATTGGTTATATCAAATGTTTTTTCTACATCTATTAAAATGACCGTGTTTTTTTTTTTTTTCCCCCTTTCATTCCGTTGATGCAATGTGTCATGTTTCTAGATTTTGGTATGTTGAACCATCCTTGCATCCCTGGAATGAATGCTACTTGATCATGGTGTATGATCTTTGTAAAAATGTGTTGCTGGATTCTGTTTGCTAGTATTTTGCTGAGGATCTTCATGTCTGTGTTCATTAGGGATATTGGTCTATAGTCTTTTTGTAGTGTCTTTTTCTGATCTTGGTAAGGGTAATACCTGCCTCGTAGAATGAGTTTGGAAGTATTCCCTCCTCTTCAATTTTTTGAAAGAGTTTGAGAAGAATTGATATTAGTTCTTTAAGTGTTTGGTAGAATTTGGCAGTGAAGCCATCTGGTCCTAGAGTTTTCTTTGTTGGAAGACTTTTTATTTTTGCTTAAATCTCATTATGCATTAATTGGTCAGTTTAGGTTTTCTAGTTCTTCATGATTCAACTTTGGTAAGTTGTATGTGTCCAGGAATTTATCCATTTCTTTTGGGTTTTCCAGTTTATTTGCATATAGTTGTTCTCAGTAGTCTCTTATGGTCCTTTGTATTTCTGTGGTATCAATTGTAGTGTCCCCTTTTTAATTTCTGATTTTATTTGAGTCTTCTCTCTTTTTTTCTTCCTTAGTCTAGCTAAAGGCTTATCGATTTTATCTTTTTGAAAAACCAACTTGTTTCATTGATCTTTTATATATTTTTAAATCTCTGATTCATTTATTTCTGCTCTGATCTTTGTTATTTTTCTTCTTATGATTTTGGGTTTGGTTTGTCCTCATTTTTTCAGCTCCTTGAGGTGTTGCATTAGGTTATTTGGAGTCTTTCTTTTTTTTTTTTTTTTTTTTTTTTTTTGATATTGGCATTTATTGCTGCAAACTTCCCTCTTAGAAGTGCTTTTGCTGTACCCCATAGGTTCTGGTATGCTGTGTTTTCATTTTCATTTGTCTCCAGGAATTTTTAAATTTCCTTTTTAATTTCTTCTTTGACCCGTTCCTTATTTAGGAGCATATTATTTAATTTCTATGTATTTGTATTTTGTTGTTGATTACTAGTTTTATTCCATTGTGGTTGGATAAGATTAATAGGATTTCAGTTTTTAAAGTTTGTTGAGACTTGTTTTGTGTCCTAACATATGGTCTACTCTAGGGAATATTTTATTTGCATCTGAGAAGAATGTGTATTCTGCAACTTTTGGACGAAATGTTCTATAAATGTCTGTTAGGTGAAGTCAGATTATAGTAGAGATTAATTCTGATATTTCCTCCTTAACTTTCTGTCTGGGTGATCTATCCTTTGTTAAAAGTGGAGTATTAAAGTCCTCAACTATTATTGTGTTGGAGTCAGTCTCTCCTTTTAGATCCAGTAGTGATTGCTTTATATAACTGGGTGCTCTGAAGTTAGGTGCATGTATATTTAGAATTGTTATATCCTTTTGTTGAATTGATGCCTTTATGGTTATATGATGACCTTCCTTATGCTTTTTTACTTTCCTTGGCATGAAGTCTATTTTATCTATTCCTGCTCTCTTTGGCTTCCATTTGTATGAAATATCTTTTTCCATCCCTTCACTTTTGGCCAGTTTGTGTCTTTAAGTGAGTTTCTTGTAGGCAGCATATTGTTGGTTCTTATTTTATAATCCATCCAGACACTCTGTGTCTTATTAGGTCATTTAATCCGTTTACATTTAGGGTTTTTGTTGATATCTATAGGGACTGATTATTGCCATTTTGATATTTTCGTTTGTTTGTTTGTTTGTTTTGTGGATCTTTTTTACTTTTTCCTTGTCTTACTGTCTTCCTTTGTGGCTGAGTGGTTTTCTCTAGCTTTGCATTTTGCTTTCTTGCTATTTATTTTTAGTATGTCTCTTAGTTTTTGTGTTATGGTTACCATGAGGCTTACAAATACATGTTATAGTTACAACAGATTATTTTAGACTAATAACAATAACTGATTTGTAAGAAAAAAACAAAGCCAACTGTACGCTTTGTCGCCATTCCCCACAACTTTTTGACAATTTGTTGTTTCAAGATACATCTTTTAATATTGCTTTTCTTTTATATGGTTGTTGTATATGTATATAGTGTCTTGTTAGGTCTGTCTTTTAGTCTTGGACCTCTGTTAAATGTTGTGTGTTTTTTTTCTCCTGATGCTTTCAGTATTCTCTGGTTTTGGTTTTTGATAATTATATTATGATGTGCCTTGGGGTATTCCTTCTTGGATTGAATTTGACTGGAGACCTCTGAGCTTCCTTTACCTGAAGGCTGTCATCTTTCTCCATACCTGGGACATTTTCAGCCATTATTTTTCATTTTTCTTCTCCTTCGGGTATGCCAGCTATGCACAGGTTATTTTCCTTGAGAGAGTTCCACATTTGCTGTTATTTCCGTTTTCATTTTTTCTTAATTCTTTTTTCTTTTTGCTCCTCTGGATAATTTCATCTGTTTTATCATTGAGCTCACGGATTCTTTCTTCTGATTATGTCTGCTGTGGGAGATTTCTATCAAGTTTTTCAATACAGATAAATGTAGTCTTTATTTCTAGAATTTCTATTTTTTTTATTGATTCTATTCCTTTGTCAAGTTTCTCATTCTGCTCCTGAATTATTTTCCAGATATTATTTAATATTCTGTCTGTATTTTCTTGTGACTCCTTGAACATCCTTTGTCATTAAGAAGGCTATTCTGAATTCTCTGTCATACATTTCATAAATCTGCTGTTTCTCTGCATCCATTGCTGGTGCTTTGTTTCATTTGATGGTGACATATTTCTCTGTTCTTCTCTGTCTTTTTGTCTTTACATTGATGCCTAGGCATTTGGGGAGACTGTTATTTGCTGCTGATTCTCGGGGATGCATTTTGTGCAGATCTTTAATCACTTCTGAATCTGGGCTATGTGTCTTTCCAGCCTCTGAATTGCTCTTTTCTCCAGTTGGTTGCAGTTGCTTGCTCCTGCGTGGGCCCTGGGGATTTCTACCAGTGGTCTTTAAAGCCTGTGGGCTGGTGAGGTGCACTCTGAAGCCCTTCTCTCCCTTTCAGACTCCAAGCAGGTTAACACAAAAGGTGCTGCTACGGCTTCTTCCAGCATCAATCCCGGTATAACATCTAGTCCCCGCCTCTGTACCAGGCTGGCTCAAAACAGTAGGCGCTGTCCCAAGCCCTCTCATTTCTTCTCACACTTTCATGAACTCTGCAGGTCTCTTCTCCTCTTCTCCAAGCTCCAGCAGTTCCAGGTTGGCAGTCTTTGCTTTTTAATAGTTGTAAATGGGTTACTTGTGGGAAGGCGCTATGCTGGGAATCATATTTTCCTCCATCTTGGTGAAGTCATTCCCTTTTTTCAAAATTTTTAATAGTTTAATAGTAATGTTACCAAGAAGCTCAATATGTAAAGCATAAAAGCCAAGCTACCCTGGTTAAAACAGTGTAGATGGCCCAGAGCTTTACCTCCAGAACCCACAGCATTCCAAGGAGCATGGTTTGAAACCACTTTGCATATTTGTTTTTGGCTTTATATTACTTCTGGGTTTGCCTGTGATTCCGAGTCCTAAGCCAAAAAGCAGCTGTGTTGTTGTATGTATGATTTTAAAAACATTCACAAGATACCTGCTTCATGCCTTTTTTTATTATATGTTAATGGGCAACTGTTAATTATTAAAACCAATAATTATAAATAATTCAGAAAAATCTTATTAAATTACTGACCATAGTGCTTTTTACCCATTCTTTTTTTGGTAGTTCTTGAAATTATTTTAATTTTTGTTTCAGATCAGGCAGAGGACGGAAATTAAGTGGAGACCAAATAACTTTACCAACTACTGTTGATTATTCATCAGTTCCTAACCAGGTAATTTTTTTTGAAATATTGAATAAGTGTTCCAGAACAGTATTTTTCAAATTGGATTGCAGACCATGAGAAGGTCATAAAATTGATTTAATAGTCAGGATTTGGTTGCTGTTGTTATATTTTCAGTTCTAAAATTTCCATTTGATTCTTCATTTTATTTTCTGTTTCTTTGCTGATGTTTTCTGTTTTTTTATTGGTTTTAAGTGTTTGCTGTCACTTGTTGGAGCATTTTTATAATAGCTGTTTTAAAGTCTTAGATAATTCTAGTATTTATATCATCTTGGAGTTGGCATATGTTGATTAATTTTTATGTGAATTGAGATTTATTGATTCTTTGTATGCTGAATAATTCTGGATTATTCCATGAATATTTTGATTTTTGTCTTTTGAGACTCTGTCTTAATTAAATCCTGTGGAGAATGTTGGTATTTTTTATTTTATCAGGCAGTCAGTCTGGTTAGGCTTAGATGGAAAGTTCCAGTTCCTCTTTCTGTGGGCTCTAGTTCAAATGTCAGTTCAGTTTTCAAAGCATTTGCTTTTGTTTTACTTTGTTTTTTATTTTTAATATACAGAATAGAATAAAATAGAACAGACCAGAATATATCAGAATGTTCTAGCCCACACTAAAAGTATTTTTTTTAACTTTTGATCTTGTTTTGGTATGTGATATAAAATGTATATTTTCCCATGGCCTGGTGTTTTAGAAAGCCCATTTTTCTGATAAATTATTAAAGGGATGTTCATTAAGTTGCCCTTTTGTGGCTGACAGTGCTGATGAATTAAATTTTTATTTAAAGTTTGTACCTGCCTAGCAACAGTATTCTCATTCCTAAAGAGATTAATATGCAGATCAGGCAGAGGACGGAAATTAAGTGGAGACCAAATAACTTTACCAACTACTGTTGATTATTCATCAGTTCCTAACCAGGTAATTTTTTTTGAAATATTGAATAAGTGTTCCAGAACAGTATTTTTCAAATTGGATTGCAGACCATGAGAAGGTCATAAAATTGATTTAATAGTCAGGATTTGGTTGCTGTTGTTATATTTTCAGTTCTAAAATTTCCATTTGATTCTTCATTTTATTTTCTGTTTCTTTGCTGATGTTTTCTGTTTTTTTATTGGTTTTAAGTGTTTGCTGTCACTTGTTGGAGCATTTTTATAATAGCTGTTTTAAAGTCTTAGATAATTCTAGTATTTATATCATCTTGGAGTTGGCATATGTTGATTAATTTTTATGTGAATTGAGATTTATTGATTCTTTGTATGCGGAATAATTCTGGATTATTCCATGAATATTTTGATTTTTGTCTTTTGAGACTCTGTCTTAATTAAATCCTGTGGAGAATGTTGGTATTTTTTATTTTATCAGGCAGTCAGTCTGGTTAGGCTTAGATGGAAAGTTCCAGTTCCTCTTTCTGTGGGCTCTAGTTCAAATGTCAGTTCAGTTTTCAAAGCATTTGCTTTTGTTTTACTTTGTTTTTTATTTTTAATATACAGAATAGAATAAAATAGAACAGACCAGAATATATCAGAATGTTCTAGCCCACACTAAAAGTATTTTTTTTAACTTTTGATCTTGTTTTGGTATGTGATATAAAATGTATATTTTCCCATGGCCTGGTGTTTTAGAAAGCCCATTTTTCTGATAAATTATTAAAGGGATGTTCATTAAGTTGCCCTTTTGTGGCTGACAGTGCTGATGAATTAAATTTAGACAGATGTTGAAGAGTGGACTTCCTGGGATGAAGATGCACCCACAAGTGTAAAGATCGAAGGAGGGAATGGGAATGTGGCAGCACAGCAAAATGCTTTGGAACAACTGGAACCTGACTATTTTAAGGACATGACACCAACTATAAGGAAAACTCAGAAAGTATGTTAAAGATTTGTGCTTTTGGAGATTAAACTACTTTTCGGATTCTTATAGTTTAAATTAGACAGTATAAATTATTAGAAAGCCTATTTCTGATGATAATTTGTTGTATTTTCTGCTGTATTTGGTTATGTAAGAATTTTATATATTCAGATGACCTAGACATAGATCTAGTAAGTTGTACCACCAAGTCTTTTAAAGTCATATCTAAGCGTTTATGGAAATCCTGCTATATGTAGGAGAGAGCTGATTATACTTTTGGCAAGATATGATACCTTAACTAAAAATGCCTCTTTATTTGTGGGGTCTGGGAAAGTGGGGAGAGGAAAAAAGAAGATGAGAATTTGTTTTTTTAAAAAAAGTAAAATACAGTTTTTCTTAGTGTGTGACTGATTTGTATGACAGTTGCCTGGGAGTTTTGGTACTCTTTTTAGGTTTTGTGTTTTTAGTTTTTACACTGTAAATTTTAAAAAGAAAAATAGAGCATATTTTAAGTAATTACAAAATGTTTTTTTTGATTATCTATTTCCATATAGTATGTGTAGAATATCCCTATAATTTTATTTCAATTCATCTTTCAGATTGTTATTAAGAAGAGAGAACCATTAAATTTTGGCATCCCAGATGGTAGCACAGGTTTCTCTAGTAGATTAGCAGCTACACAAGATATGCCTTTTATTCATCAATCTGTAAGTATGTTAATGAGATCTAGGGAAAGACTTGGTTCTGTTTCTGTTTTCTTTTAAGAAGAAGAAAAATCTAACTGAATTGAATGTGTGCATATTTCTGTAATTTTGAAACAGGCTTAGCAGTTGAGAGAAGTTAATCTGGAGTTTTACCAATCCTAACCGTTTATGAGATTGTAAATTACATCAGATACTAACATAAGGGCCCCATTGTACATATGAAAGAGACAAAATGTTACTTAAAAATATGAATGTCAAAGAGATTACCACCAAGATGGGAGATTAACCTTAATAGCAGGTTATTTTTAAGTGAGTTATGGATTGTTTCCCTCTTAGAGTATGTTTTTATTTAAAGTGTGATTTAATTTAAAATGGATTTGACTTAAATGAAACTTTTTAGAGGAAGAGAGTATACCTGAAGTTCTGAACTTTGGGAACATATCAGAATAAGCTTTGGAGTTTTTTAAAAAGACAAATGTCCAGACCCCTCCCCAGATCTAAGCTTAAGCATGCTTTGATTGATTGATTATATTAGTTACTTATTGTTATGTAACAACCCCAAATTTGGTAACTTGAAACAAATAATAAACATTTATTATCTCACACAGTTTCTGTGGATCAGGAATCCAGAGGTAACTAAACTGGGTGACTGGTTCCGGATTTCTAATGAGTTTGTAGACAAGTCATCGGGCTGGGGCTATAGTCATCTATAGCTTTGATTAGGGTTGGAGGATTCATTTAGAAGGTGGCTTACGAACATGCCTGAAGGTGGCAAATGAATGCTGGTTGTTCGCTCAAAGCCTTTGTTCCTTGCTATGGACCTCTCCATAGGGCTGCTTTAATTTCTTCACAACATAACTGCTGACTTTCCCAAAACAAGAGAAGGGGGTGGGAGGAGACGGGGAAAGAGATCACTCACAGGTGACGGTGACGCCACTAGTGGCTTTTTATGACATGATTATAAGTGAAACACTGTCACCTACACGTTATTTTATTTATTAGAAGCCAGTCACTAAGTCTAGCCCACATGCAAGGGGAGAGGAGGTAAGCTCCAACTCTTGAAGGAAGGAGTGTCAAAGAGTTTGCGGACATTTAAGCCAGCACATCTCTCTTGACAATCTGCATATCTTATTTGTTTAAACTTCACAGATGCTTTTGAGGCCCCTCTCCCCATGTTTATGTACGTTTTTAATTCATTGATCAATAACTGTTCCTAATGCCAGACCCATGCTAGATGCTAAACACAGTGGTTTAATATAAGCAGAACAGGCAGGGTCTTTGCCTCAGAAGAATTTATTCTAGTGGGAGAGACATAATATTACGTAAATGATCACACACATAAATATGAGGGTATTTCAAAATGTTCATGGAAAAATGGAATTAAAAGATAACATGAATCTTTCCATAAAGTTTTTGAAGACTCCTCATATAGTTACAAACTTTGATAACTCCTATGCTATTATGTGATGTTATAAGAGCATAATAACACCATAGATATTTCTCTGGATATCAGTATCATAAGGTTTAATTTTTTATTTCATATTTCTCAATTTAAAAATTTTTTCATATATATTTAATCCATATTGGTAAAGTGGTTCAGTCTCACGCAGAGAATTAGTAATATTTGCCACCTAGCCATAACTATGTTATTATAACACTAATGTAGATCTTTTTAAATTGTAAATACATAGCCATTTACAGAGTTTTGGGAAGGGGTAAATAGAGTAGATGGAGAATGTCTCCAATGCTATTTGTCCTCCCAGACAAAATAAAGGAATACTGCATAGGAGAGAATGGTAGCTTATTGGACTTTGTTCTTTACACCAAAAATATCTTACCACTATTCTACAAATTAGGTTCTTCTTTTAATCTCTACATTCTTTTTTTTCCTTCTTCTTCTTCTGGAATTCATCATTTATATTGTTGTAAGAACTCTTTTTATATTAAGGATATTAACTTTTTTCTGTCATCTTTTTTAGTTTGCTGTTAGTATTATAATTTAGTTTGGATGTTTTTAATGGACAGACATTTATTTTTTATGTAGGCAGATCTATCAGTCTTGTCCTTTACAACTTTTTCTTTTTAATTAGAAAACCATCCCTACTAAAGGATTAAATATCACCCTTTTTAATAGTCTTAATAGTATTACTTTTTAAAAATATCTAAATGTTTTATGAATGCTGACAGTCAAGTACCTCAGTGGAAAAATGGATAAATGTTATGAATAGAAAAATTGCAAACAAGAATTAGACATAACCTAAGAACATAAACAAAAGTTTGATCTTATTAGTTATTGAAGAAATTCAAAGTAAAATAACAAGATACCACTTTTAAATCTTATCAAATTAGCAAAGATAGAAAACAAGGAAACAAGACTTTTACTCACTGCTATTGAGTGGATAAGTTGGTAACTTTTCAAGAGTGCCATATGCACTTTGTTTTTAGTAGCTTTAAAAATGCTTCTCATTGATTAAGCTATTCTATTTTTACAAAATTTTGTTAAACAGATAATGAGAAATATTTTAAGAATTTTTAACAGAGTATATTATTACACTTATGGTCAGAGGAAGGAAACTCAAAATACTTTATTTTTAGGGGTAAGTACTCAGAATATTATAAATCTGTGTGCAGATTAGTACCAATTATTTTACATGCATAATCACTTCCATACCTAACTAAACATCCCAGAATGACCATTTTCATTGGTTCTTGGGAGAAAAAAAGTGAACTTTCAGTGGTCTGGCCCGGGGAATAGTGGAAGGTAGTGACCAGTCTGATGATATCAGGTAAGTAGGTAGGACAGGGAAAAGGAAGCATGATGTAGAAGTATTCCAATAAAGATAAATTTTGCCTGATTTGTCATTTTTGCCTAGGATTGAGACAGTAAGTGCCACTGAAAAATCTATAATTATGTATGCTTAAATGAAGATAGCTATGCAGTTTTGGAAACTTCAACTTTGTACAGTTCTCCTCCTCAGCAGAGATTAATCCATTCATGTATTGCTAATTCAGTTTAAGACTGGTTGATCTCTTCTCTCACTTTCCCCTGCCCCTTCCTGTTACTGAAAAGAGAGAGAAGCAGAAAGAAGAAATGTTCTACTCTTGTCCATTCCAAACTAAAGTAAGCAAAAGAAGAAAGTTGAATATAAAAGAGTATCCTTTATAAAATATAAAATAGGATGAAAGCTAGATCTTGCCCAGAACTGTTTAGTACTGAAAGTCATGCATCATGGGAAACCCCTCAGTTCTTGGCAAACCAGGGGCCAAATAATTTGTGATTTGTATAGGAAAAGTTGTATAAGAAAGTTGAAAAGTTATAGGAAAGTGAAAGGTTCTGAGTTATCCTTTAAAAGATAATTTTCTTGACTGCTGTGGCTCCTTACTATCTTGATTTTGGTTTCTTTTTTCACTGTAGTCTGAATTAGGTGACTTAGATACCTGGCAAGAGAATACCAATGCATGGGAAGAAGAAGAAGATGCAGCCTGGCAAGCAGAAGAAGTTCTAAGGTATTTGAGTGATATTTACATTGCAACCTGAGTAGAAGAACAAGATTTGTTCCATGTTGTGTAAAGGTCAAGGAAGCCTGTTCTGCTAAATACTGTATTTTTCTTCATTCTTCCTCATTTGAAACTTAGATAATACAGACACTTTTTTTTCCCCCAGACTGTATGTCCTGTTTTAAATGATTAAAACCTCACAGAAACCAAGAATTTAAAACACTATAGGAACAAAAGTAATTTTATTAGTGGCAAATGAAATCTTTTACTATATTGCAGTCTTGATATGTTCTACTGTGAATGTGGACCACTACTATGTATTCTTCCTCATCAGACGTTGTAACTATTTTCATTTCCTCATGGTGTAGCATAGTGCTCAACACTGCACATTTGAATGAAAATAACTTATGTAACATTCTACATTTGTACATATATGTTAATTGATATCCATGAAAGCCCTATTAGGTAAATAATACGAGGGTATTTCAGAAAGTTCAAGGAAAGATTTGTATTATCTTTTAATTTTATTTTTCCACATACTTTTTGAAGTACCCTTGTATAAAGCATGAACTGCCCATTTTACAGAAAAGTACATATTATTCTGGATGTTTTAAAAGTTAATTTTTGTTGGCTGTTATATTCTCCTTTGTTTTTGTGAACAATAAACTTAGTTCTTGCTACTGCAACTTTAGGTCAAAGAGAAAAGAAAATTTATCTTAAATGAGAGCTTGCGACTTGTTAGGATGAAAATTCAGATGTTTAAATGTATCCAAATTATCCATTTAAAATAATTATATAACAAAGTATTGTGATATAAATGTTTTTATTTTAAAATTAATATAGTTGTTACCATAGGGATAGAAAATGAATCACCTTTTATCTGACTGTCTCAACAAAACAACTGATTTCATTATATTTTCCTTTCTTGCCTTTGTCAGTAAATTACAATTACCTGGAACAACCAGCAGAGGGGGCAGTTAAATAACTGGAAGTTACGGCTTTTTTTTGTCCTTCCTGTTTTGACCAGGGGTGTTTTTTTTTGGTGGGGGGTCTGGGGGGCAAGGGGGTCACATTTTAAAATTTAGTTGGTAAAGTTATGAGAGCTTTTGATAATTTAGTTCCTGTTTGGTCAGTATAACTCAGTTTTTTATGAAGGAAATATTTTTTAAATTGTGAACTGCAATATTTATGTTACATAGATCATCAAAAAAAGATAAGCCACTTTTTAAAGTTGCTCTATTTTTTTTTATAAATCATAGATACAGAAGTCTGAGCATTTTAGAATATTTGGGGGATTCTAGTGATTATTAGTATCATTAACCATAGGATAAAGGACAGGGCTGTTCATTTTTAATCCAGTAATGTTAATGATAGCACTGTAGAATTTGTGCCATGAGTTCACAAGTATCCTAATATTTACTGCACAAAAATCTTCTCTTTTCCATTCCATCCTCTTGATCTCTAAACAAAACAGATGAAAAACAAAACACACCAAAAAAAAACCCTTAATATTTTACTTTATAATAGCAGCTTGGGAGAGTGATACTATTAGTCAGCAATAGATGTGCTTCGTGCTGCAAGTTGCGTAAGTACAGCCAAAGGGACATGGAGCCTTCCATATGTCGTTACTGCCCTCAAAAGAACACTGGACATTTTAAAAGTGTATTCACATTCCATATCCTCTAACTCTGAGCCTTTTCCTCATTGCCATCTTAAAATACTACCAGTACTGTGACCAATATTGTTAAGGATGAAGATTCTGGTATTTGATAATTCCGGGCATGAATCTGGACAGGTAAAATAAATTTTTGTCTCCAGTGCTCTCTAAATTGTCTTTTGTGCCAGGAACGTTAGTTGTTGATATTTGTATTTCAGCTAATACCCAGGTCAAAGCTTAATTATTTTACTTGTTTATAACCTAGCCAGTTCTTTATAGTTCTTTTCCTACCTCCCTTTTTTCTGCTGGTATTTTGACTTTTTTAGTGCAAATTATCAGTTTTTTCTTGAAAGTGAGCAGAGCTAGTGAAGAGATGAAAATCAAAATGTTGCCAGAAAAAGGTTTCTCTACTTTCTTGAATTTTGGTCATCGTAACTCTGCTCATTCCCATTTGTAATTGTGATTAAGAACTGTATATACATTTTGTTCTCTGTAGTCAGCTTTGAGCTGTCCCATGTGTAGGTAATCTGCTCTGGATTTTTCTGCATATAATCTAGTGTTGCCTATTCCATGCCCAATTATGCTTCCTTCCTCAACCTGCATACTTCTTGAATTATTTTTTCATACCCTAATCCTTCAGATCTAGGACCAATTTATGTTTCCTCTCCTCTCTCCTGTTTCATCACCTCACTCCTACCTCCCACTTCCCATGCAAATCAATCAATAAAGATAGAGAGGTGTAGTGATTCTAGGTCAGTGGAGTTATATGAATGGGCTAGGGAGGAGGTATGTATTTCACAATGTATAATTAGTAAATACCCACCACTCTGCCTCTTAGTTGAGCTGGTCAGATGATAATACTTAAATCAATCTCTAGCTTCTAGGTGAAAGATGTGTCTTAAGCTTACATTTTCTTTTTGGAGTATGTTCTGCGCAACTGTGTTCTTAACATCCTTTTAGTTGTCTGTTTTTAACTATTATTATAATAGGAGATTTAATCCTCAATATTAAGCTTTTCTGAATGGTATCCCAATAAAAGGTGTGGTTCAATGGAAGTAGTGTTTTAGTGGAAATATCTGAAGAAGAGGGGTCAGAAGGTGTTATCTCTGTGCTTAATCCTGTCATTTGGGGGAAGTCTGTGATTTTAGCCTTTGTGCCTCATTTTACTTATTTATAAACATAATATCTCTTCTATTTTGCAAGTCATGTTCTAAGGATTAAAAAAAGTACTGTTTTTGAAAATCTTTGAAATTTTCAAAGCAGTGAGAAGATTCAAGACTTTAAATGTTTATTTGATGATAATAAAAAAGCATTGTTATTTCTTTCTGGAATTTGATGTTTTATCTGTGTGGTATTTTCTAAAAGTAAAAATATGAGTGTGTTTCTTTTCAGGCAGCAGAAAATAGCAGACAGAGAAAAGAGAGCAGCAGAACAACAAAGGAAGAAAATGGAAAAGGAAGCACAGCGGCTAATGAAGAAGGAACAAAACAAAATTGGTGTGAAACTTTCATAACAAGTGTTCTTCAGTTGTCATAGTGCCAGTAGGAGAAATCTGAGCTCCACAACGCAAGCAACGTTTGTATGGATTTAAGAGTATTTTCAGAATGCAAATCCACTGCTTAATTTTAATGTATTTATCAGGCCATCTAGGACACCAGGATTCTCCCAAAATACCTTGAACTTTTAGTGATTGAGACTGAAAAGGACAAAAAAGACTTACGAGACAACATTTTCTTCAACATGCTCCAAATATAAGACAATTGTTTGCTGTAGAGAAATTATTACAAATGGAATATATCAGTACCTCTCAAGCTCGTGTTTCTAGCTAAATAAGTGGGTGTAAATAATTTTATGGTGGAAAAGAACTCTGTTGTCTATTATGCTTTCCTTCAATGTGCATAATGATAAAATAAATAATTTTAATATTCTTTGGTTTCCATGATTACCTGACCTAAATTAGACAAGTTGTAGGGCTTTAACTTATTTTTGTTGTCAGAGCGGGTGTTGGCATACATTTTCTCTAATTTGAACTGGTATTGTTTATGTTTGATACAACATGAAGGAATTTGATGACTTTGGTTTTCAAGAAAATGACATTAAATGCAATAATTTTATTTATCATAAAGACTTTATATATCATTGTTTTCTTTTGGATGGTGTTGTAATGCTATATATATTTGTAATTTATATTGCATGTATAAACATTGGAAATCAGCAAAAATGACAAATTTGTTTTACATTATTATAACTGTGAGTTTTAAAAACTATTAGTAGTAGTTTTACTCTTTTATTATAGATTTTAAGATGTTACAGTGTCTTTAAGTACCTTAGTTTTTCCTCCTCCCCAAAAGCCATTAATTTACAAATGCAGAAAGCTGTTAGAGGACTTCTGTGTCAGCTTTATACACTCACATCTGGCATAATGCAGGTTACCCATGTTGTTGGCTGATCCATTTTCAATTCATTAAATTATAAACCAAAATAGGACTAATAATATTTTATTTATGGTGTTGATTGACTCCAAAATAATCTTAAATAAATAATTACATACTATGTTCATAGGGGAAAAAAACATAGATTTGTTAGTTTAAAATCCCATTAAAATCCTCCACAAATAAAATGCATTCAGCCTGATTTTGTATGGCTTTAGAATTTCTAAGGACTTTTACTTTCTTTAAAGTTTTATTGCCCAGAATTAACATTTTGTGGGGATTTAAAATGACACAGACACTCTACAGGCCAAACATTGCTAATATATTTGAATTGAAGGGATGTTTCATAGTAAAATCATAAACTATACAAAGAGAGCTCTCTAAGTCCTTAGCCTAAGATTCCAGAATAAACGTGATCGTAGAATCAGTTGAAATTTAACTGTGGGAGAAAGCTGCTTATAGCCACAAACTACATTTTCAGTTATTATATTTACTAGAGTTTCTGCCAATAAACTGCCAATTTAAATAGAATTAGACTCAAATTCTTAATAATATATGTATTCTCTTCCTTCCTATTTATTTATTTTTAGTTATGGTAATACTACATGATTTCTTTAAATTGGGGGTTCATAAAGGATAATCTCCTTTAGTACAATTACTTTTATTGTTTTTCCCCAATAGTTGAAAAGTACTGAAGTCTGCTTTGGTCATGATTGTCATGTGTATGAGGTTTTGTTTGTTTGGCTCTTTGGTTTTTGATTATTTAGAAATAAGGACTGGTTAGAAGTTAGAGTTTATATGATTAATTAGGAAGAATTAGGTTCTTCTCATGGAAAGAATACAATTCTGGAATTGTTTAACCTCTGTTAATGTATAAACTAACTTTCTGTATTACACTGGATAAATTGAGGTCCCAAAAGAAGTCATTGAGCTAAAATACATGATAAACACTTCGTGGTAGCACACTGTCTCCTTTAGCTCCTAAATTTATGGTTTCTGTTTTTTTTCTTAATTTTAATAAGGAATTATCAATTTTAGCTTATTGGTAGAAGTAAAGAAAAATATGGCTTAGGCAGAGTTAGTGAAGTTCTACCCATTGTCTGAATTGTGCATTTTACATACTGAGATAGCAAGTAATCAAAGACATGTGAAACTCATTTTGTGGCTTTTGTATAGAAATTTCATGGTTTCTAGCCATTTCCACTTCTTAAGCTTTAGCAAGGGATATCCACTCTTGGCTTTTTTTGGTAGCATATTTAACTAAGTCGACATTTTAGAACTGGCAATTTAAAATTTTGCATCTGAATTCCTCGGTTTTGACATGCACTTGCCTCTGGCCAGGGCAGTGATTACTGCTGGAAAGAGTGGTGGGTGGAAGATGGTAACTATAGAAACGGGCATCTGGATCCTTTTCCAACTTTATAAGCTACCACATAGTGTAAACCTAACCAGAGCCAATTTTCCCAAAAGCCTAAGTTTTGTCAATAATGATGTGTTTACTAAAGTGATGGTCTAGGCCAGATATTGCTAACATACACATCTTGTTTAATCCTGTGTAGTTCAGATTTGGGATAATCTACTGCAATGATCTTCACACTCTTCATCTCCGTGTTCAAAAGAAATCTTTCATTAGACGTGGAAGCATATATAATAGGTACAAGTTGAGTGGTTCTGGCTGAAGCCAAGTTGGGAGGGTGGGAGTGAGCTAGGGCCTACAGATTGTTCTAGGGAAGGAGCTTCTATGCTTTCAGGTAAATTGGAGGGCTGAAGAAGATTGTAGGTCCATGAAGAACATATGAGGGGGGCTTCAAAACGTTCTTGAAAGAATTCATATTTTTTAATTCAATTCTTCCTCAAACTTTTTGAGGTACACTTGTATTTTAGTAGCTATTAACTTGTTTAACCATTTAAATTGTTTGTTTTTTTAAAATTTGAGTTGCTCTGTCCTAATATCAAAGAGAGCTCTTATCCTTTGTGTAATTTTCTTCACTTTTCTTTAACATAACCGAGGCTGTTCCAATGTTAACAGCAACAGCTATGGACTCCTTTTGTACTCAACTGCTTTTTGCTCCCTACTTTTTATCTTCAGTCCTCCTTAATCATGGCCACTGGGCATGTTCAATAGCCAGAGTATTGAGAGCCAGGAAGATGCTTTTTCACCAGAAACTTTCAATCTTCTAGGGCTGGAAAGAGAAACTCTATTCTAGGAAGCCCTCCCCGATCCCCCCTTTCGCCCTCATACAACAGATTTTGTTTCTACCCACGCATACCTGCTTCTGTTGACACTGCTAATTCAGCAGGAGCTTTTTCAGAGAAACTGTCACTGAAAGTCTGGCCAATCGAAGATAATCCGAGCCTTCCCTTTCAAGATTTCCGTGGATATTTCTGCAGTTTCTTTCCTTATGTATTGATCTTTGAGCACTTTCCAGAGTTCTCAGAGCTGCTGCAGAGATAGTGCAGGATTACACAAATTGTGTGAGTTTGCAAATCTTTTAAATAGAGATGGTAGTTTTAAGGATTAACAGACTGTATGTAAGTGTTCACTATAAGCACTCAACAAATGGTAGTTGTCATGAGGCCCTGTACATACCTTTCCCACATCTCTTACCATGCATTGGTATTGGCAGTCTCTTCCCTGCAGAGAGGGAGAAGTGGACTGATCTCGCAATATTTTATACACCTTTAAGTTGAACTGCAAATTTAGTAAGAAAGAACATACATTATGTGCTCAGTACTGTCTGAGTCCTTGACTAATTATATCAATGACTCTTAGCAGTCCTTTGAGGTAGATATTATCCCCATTTCACATGTAAGGAAACTGAAGCTTAGAAAGTCAATTGTGTGCTTAATTAATGGAAAGGAAAATAGGCTTTGAGAGTAGGTTGTTTTAATGGTTAATCAGCATTCTTTGTGTACTATGATTTCTAAGGCCTCCCTTAACTTGATGAAACTATGAGCTGCCAAAAGTTAGCATTTAAAAGTTCCTCTCTACTTAATGAAGATGGTGTTACAAATTATATCAGATAACACCCATTTGTTTTCTAAGAACTTATTTAATAAATGAAAATGTAGAGAAAATAAAAACATTTTCATATAAATGACAACTGTACTTGAATGTCAATGCCATATAATCATGTATTTGTAGTTTATCTGGGTCAGATATAATCAAAATGAAATGTGATTTATATTCACACATTTGCAAAAATAGGCCTATTCATTCGATTTAGTCATAATTCTAATGAGGCCAAGGCCACAGGTTTTATGCACGTGCAGACTAGCATTGTACTTAGAGACCTTCCTGCTACAAACTGTCCCTAACCTTGTTTTTTTTTTTGTCCTTTTTGAGACCGGCCGAGCCGCGCTCAGCCAGTGAGCACTGTGAGCTTACCGGTCATCCCTATATAGGATTGGAACCCGCGGCGGGAGCGCTGCTGCGCTCCCAGCGCTGCACTCTCCCAAGTGCGCCACGGCTTGGCCCAACCTTGTTTAGTTTATTAATGTGTGGTTTTTGGATTTGGTTGAGAGAGTAAATGGCACAGATAAAAATCAGCTCCTTGCATAGAAAATTTGAAGGACATACTCTGCATCAGTGATATTGACTTATTCTTAGCAGCCCAATTTCGGCTTATTATAAGATATTAACTACTTCCCATAATTGGTATTGTTGGCTAAACTATTCAAACCTTAATTTGAGTCCTTAACATACAGCAATTCAGTTTCCAAACCTGTTGACTATCCCTGAATAAAAGCAGTGCTTACCTATTTTACAGAGAAAAATGACACCATCGTTAGATATGTTGGCCTCTGAAATAAACTCAGCATTTTATTGCAGTGCTAAGCAAGGTAAGATGTGCATAAGGATATAGTTATATTTAACTTGTCACGTTTAAGTTGAAAGCACACAAAACTACAAATGCTTTTATTATTTCGTGAGGCTCTGCAGTGCATCTGAACCTCATAATTGCCTAATCTGTCTTGATTAGAAGGAACCCTTATAAAGTAGTACATGGGTGATCACTTTTTTCTGTGTACTGCTTTCAGTGGGAGATGTGAAAATTAAGACTGCTTTCATTTTTTATTTTCTCTGTACAACCAACAAGCCAGAAATAATGTGCTGGTTCGGAAGAATTAAAGGTCAGCTTCAAATGCCAGCACCTATTGTTTACTGTTGAGAGAGAAGCTGGCAAACCATTCCCAGAACTGAGTTATTCTGATTGCAAGGAAGGAGAGAGAGATTTTTACTGCACCCTCAAATTAGAGAAGCTGTGCTGCCTACCTTCAATATTCATTCTGGACTGTTTCACATCGTTGTTTCATACCACCATGTCCCACATGGTTACATGGTCTCTGTACTCAGAGATGAGTCCTCTTCACAGTTAAACCAACAGGGCACTGGCGAACAAAATTTTGTGGAACAGATATGGAAAACAATTCCATTAAGTATTCATTTGCTTAGGACAGTAGAGAATCCAGTCTTTGGCATTAGCCAGACTACTATTCCAATTAACTGAGAGTTTCTGTATGTGAGATCTTACATGATCTGGCAATTTTTAAAGAATATGGTATATAGTGAAATGCTTTGCAAGCTGTTTCAGAGCTGATATCAGGACCACTGCAGGGGATGGCAAATGGCAGGGCTCCTGGCCTGGTGTCGCTGTTCCAAAATCTTCACTTGTATGTGTTTTATATGTTGTTTTTTTTAATGTTTAAAACATTTTTTTAAAGAGATACACCTTTTAACAAACTAGAATGCTACTGAAATATTCAAATCTTTTAATAAAACTCTTCAGAGAGGCACTTAAGCCTTTTTGAATCTTAAAGTTCTTTGGAATTATTGTTACTATCATTATAACAATCATTATGATTGTGGGAAATCAGTAGTCACGGCAGAGCATGTCTTCCAGTGGCTTAAAAATAATTATCTGATATAAACCCATTTTATTCTGTTTGGACTTTCTGTGTTCGTTCAGGGCAATGGGGAGTTTGTTGACATTTTTTCAAGATTTGATTGCTACAACGTGGTAGTTTTAATTTCCTAGGTTACTGCCTTATTGTGTACATTTTGCTTGGCAAAATTGAGAATAAATGAATTTTGTGAAAGTACTTATTGACCCAAAATGAAAGTGGGGAGCTACCCAACCCTTTTAATAAAAAAAACCCTCAAGAGAAAAACATATCAGACCCAACCACTATTTAGGCAGGGCCTATGATAAATGAAAATCACAGATTTCCTTTTTTTCTGCCACAAATGTCAGAAATGCTTGGCATCTGAGTGTATTGCGTTTTTTTTTTTTGTTTTTTTTTTTTTTCCCCTCTTTTCTGAACAGCTCAACTTGGAAAGGTCAACATATCCCTTTGGGAAAAATCTTTTCTTATAAATTGGAATGTTTGCACACATAACTGTAGGAAATGTTTAACATTTGCTTTGATGCGACAGCAATTTGTTCAATAGAATGGAATTGTTCTTTTTTTTTTCCATTTTCCTGCCTGTTTGTACATCACAGGCACGCAGATTACTGAAAACAACTTTGAGGCACTTCTTTCTATGAGATTAGATCATCATGTCCACAAAACCAGCCAACGCCTTGGGCTTCCGAAAGGCAAGCATGTTCCATCTTTTATTTACTCTAAGGGACTCATTTGTTAAAGACTTTGTACTAAATGAAAGCAGTAATTTTCCACAGACTATACATATTCAAACCCTGAGGAAGGAGGAAAGGAAGGGGGAAGAAAAGGGAAAAAGAAAGAAGGGGAGGAGAAGAAAAAAGGATAACCGCTCCAGATCTCCTCTTTTACCTTTGTGCATCATTTTTCCCGTGTGGGTAGGACATGCAGTGTCCAGTGTCTCAAATGGGTTACTTTGAATCTTTTGGTTTATGTAAAGAAGGATTCAGGACATTAAGACAACAAAGCCATTTGCTATTGGTGATCAGCTACCTCCAATTTGATAACAACATAAGTATTTGTGGTTCATGGAGAATTCTTTTTCACTAAAGCCCGTCCTTTCCATCCGTCTTAAGGTGATGAAATATAATGCTGAGTTTGCGTGGTTATGTTGTATTTGATTCTGTAGGAACAAGCAAATACCAAAAACAGGCTTATAATTTTTCTTAAAGTAAAAATGCTTTAATTTGGCAATGACTAAAAATAAACCCAAGGAGAGACTTTAAGGAAGATACCAGTTTCAGGTATTAGTCTGGGCTGTACTACAGGAAGGGACCTGAGTCAGCATGGCTCATTACTTTGGTTATTCACTCCCAGAAATAGTTTCCCTTCCATTTCAGCCAAATCCCTCTACTGCTAAATAGAGCTGTGAGATGTGTGCCATGTAAGTATGAATGTGTGGTCCCAAGGCCCCTGTGTATTCCAATAGAATGTCCCTGTCAGACACGAACCACCTCTCTCCACTCACATATCCTCCTATCCATTCTCACCTTCTCAAGGGTGTCCCTTCTTGAGTCAACGCTTCCTCTCTTGTGCTGTCAGTTTCTTTCTTTGGCTTAATTGCAAAAACATACAAACATGTTCTATCCCCTCACGATATTGAAAAATAAAACAAACCCTTGGCCTCATACCCCCTTGTAACCACTACCTGCTTCCCTACCCCCATCACATTAAAACTTCATAAAACAAGCAGAAAAACAAACTACTGCACAAATTAATTTCTACTTTCTCTCTTCCATTCACTCTTCAACCCACTCCAGTCTGGCTTCCATGCCCATTTGCCCAAAGAAAATGATTTGCCAAGGTCACTAAGACCTTGTTTGCAAAGCCGGTGTATATGTAACTCTTCTCACATTACTCAACCTCTTGATAGGATTTCAACACAGTTGACCGCTCCATTCTTCTCAAATCACTATCCTCTCTTGGTTTTCATAATAGTAAATTCATCTTGTTTTCCTCCTATCTTTTGAGTTGCTTCTTCTCCAGCTGTTTTGTTGGTTCTTCATTCTTCACTTCTATTTAAATGTAGAAGTATCAAAGGACACAGTTTTTGGCCTTTTTTTCTTCTTTATACTCTTTTTGGATGATCTCATCTGTTCCCAGGGTTTTCAATACTATGCAAATGCAAAAGAACTGCAATTTTATAACTCTAGCCCTGATAGTCCTGTGATTTTCACATTCATATACAGTTCCTTACTTGTCTTCTCCACATAGGTATTTTAATAGACATCTCAGTTTTATTTTTCCAGCCAAACTTGTTTCTCTTGAACTCTTCCCATTCTCAGCAGATATCACCACCTTTTATCCAGTTACTCAGACCAAAAAACCTAAGAGTCATCCTTAATTTTTCTCTTTTCCTTACACCCTAACCCAACTTCAAATCCATAAGCAAATCATAACAGTTCTGTCCTCAAGCTATATCTTTAATAATTCAACTTTATATCTACATCTACCTCCAAACTGTCATAATCCCTCATCTGGACTATTACAATAAACCCCTGCATGGTTTCCCTGTTTCCACTCCTGCTACTATGAATTTTGCACATGCCAGAAATAGGGTTAAAAAAATAAAAAAGATTGTATCATTATCCTGTTTAGAGTCATCAATATTTTCTCATTACACTGGGAATAAAATCAGCCCCCTACCATGGTTTACAGAGTACCGTATGAACCAGCTTCTTGTCTACACCCACCTTCCCCTTCCCCCTCAGTGTGCTTAGCCATGATGGCCTCCTTGATGCTCCCATAACATGCTAAGCACTTTTCTGCCTCAGGGCTCACTGTGTTATAAAAACATCATTTGTTCTTCTTGCAACATTTTACCCCTACATTTTCACTTAACTGACTGTTTTTCTTTGATTAGCACCAATGTTGTTTCTTTAGAGACGTGTTCCTTACCTTCACCCATCACTCTTGGTCAAAACTGCTTATTTCCTTTGGAGCACTAACCACTATCTAAAACTCTCCTGTTTATTTGTTGGCATGTTTTGTGTCTTTCATGGACACAGAATGTAAGCTCCCTAAGGGCAGAAACCTTGTCTGTCTCTTTCACTATTAATGACTGACCCAGTAAAGTACCTAGCTAGCATGTTAGTACCAAATAAGTATTTGGATGAATTAATTCATTCAACAGCTAGTTTTAGACCCCCTACTGTGCCAGGTACAGTTCTAAATTCTTGACATAAGAGGATACTTCAAAAAGTTCATGGAAAAATAGCATTTAAAGGTAACACAAATCTTTCCATGAACTTTTTGAAATACCTTTGTGTATCTGTGAACAAAACAGCACACAGATCCTGCTCTCATAGAACAAATATTTCAGTGGGTGAGATGGATAATAACCTGGACGTAATAGATAAAAAAGTTGTATGTTTAAAGGTAAGTGCTATGTAGAAGGGATACCTGCACTCCCATATTCATTGCAGCTCTATTTACAATAGCCAAAATACAGAACCAACCTAAGTGTCCATTGATAGATAATTTGAAAACGGCACAAAGCAAAGCAAGGAGATAACATGCCAGCCTTAGAGAAGCTGTCTTGAAAGTGCAAACTGCATTTTCTCTTCCTGAACCACTAGGATAAGAACAGGTACCTCGACGACACGGCAGGGTCATGAGCATGCTTTCTAAACCAGACTGTTGGGACATTTACTGGAACCAGGTCTCCATGCCTCTGAAGATACCTTCGGTTTTAAACAGTTAACAGGCTTCAACTAAATATAGTGCAAATCAAATACTGAGGAGCAAAACGACAGAATAGAGACCGCCATCGATCGACCTGCTGTCTCTCTACCTGGCACAATGCCACACGTGACAAATTGGCACACGGTAACAACTTCTATTTAGGTTTTGATATGGAAGGCGGTGCGACGAAGAGAATGCAGGGCCACCACACAGCAGCCCCGGAGCAAGGCTCCGATGTTGTAGACGGGATCTGTCCCCCGTCTCTGAGTACTGAATGCCCACAGAACGGTGGGGACCACGGGGGCGGCCACCGCCAGGAGATCCACCAGGAAGCTGCTGCTCCAGTAGTGCGTTGCGACGCGCCCCCGAGGCAGCGGGATGAGGCCGTCCAGCCTTTGCTCCGTGCAGGCTGCAAAGTCCAGCTCCCTCATGAGGCGGTTCTTGGGAGCTTGCACGTCCACCGTGGAGCATGCGGTCTCCACGGGAGACAACAGGATGGCTGAGTTCGGATCTCTCGGAGTTAGATCAACCACTAAAGCAGGGATGGGCTCTGGGAAGCTCTCCGTGAAGTCAGCCCCAGACTCATCAGGGGATACCAAGCTCGAGGGACAGGGGTCCCGGAGCTTGAGCACGTTCTGAATGAGCTCCGACACCGCGGGGCTGTAGGACACCACATCCGTCTGGATGGCTTGCTCCACCACCACGCTGCCCTCCTCCTGACCCACCGCCACCGGGGCGATCTCAGGGACTGCGGCCCCAGGAGTGGAATGAACAAACTGCAGGTCTCCAGATTCTGTGGTGGTGGCGGTCACCATGTCATCAAGCAAATCTGTGCCATCGGCCATGCTATCTCCCACCAGCAGCTCGCTGTCGGCCCCTTGCTCAGTGACCTGCTCCTCCAGAGAGAACCCATCCACCACATGACCAAAAGGGGTGTTTAGGGTTAAGCTTTTCTCTGGGGAATCACATGGGAAGTCCAGACACAGTTCATCCCTCAGGGAGCCACTGTGTGCCATCTCCATGCTCTGAAGTAGAGACTCCAACTTCCTGTTTTGTATGTTTATGTCCACAAAATATTTCTGAATGCCTTTATCTTTATCAGCCAAGCTGCTCCTCATAGTTTCAATGACCTGTTTGAGCTGTTTAATCTCTTTCCTGGCTTCCTTGAGTGCCAGCTGGGCCTCTACCCGGTGGCATTCTTCTTCAATCCAGTCTTCTCTCATGCGGGCCAGCTGGGACTTAAGCTCCACAATTTCACTTTCTCTGGAGTTGGAAGACATGCATGGTTAAGAAAAATGTCAATTCTGAACCAGGCAACAAACAATTCTGACACACAGCCGAGAGCCCATGCTCTCCACTTGAAACAGAGGTTAAATCAGTTTTGAATTTTTTTTCCTTTGGCAGATACTAGTTCTTTAATTGTAAAATAGCTACAGTAATAATAGTAATCTGAATGAGAATCAAAATATCTATCATTGTTTCCTTTTTTGAGTGCTCACTGTGTGTCAGTATTACACCAAGTACTTTACAAACATTATCCTCTACTCACTACTTAATATTTGAAATTTTATTATTAGAACACATTAGAATCTCTTAGCCTGCTTTTATCTCCATAGCTTATCCTTTCATAATGTCTACAGCTTGTGGGAGCAAAGACCATTTAGCTTTTAATTACTTATCAAAGACAGAGGATGAACTGATAAGTTTTAGCCTTGCAAAATTGTTCTGGTCATATTCTGATGATAGTTTAAAATTTTTTAAAACCATGAAATGCTACACGTAGCAAAGACTTTGTAAAAAGTTGCTTATTCTATCTCCTTTTAGGTAAGATGATATTGAATCTATCCTGCACTGAGGAGAATCTATCCTATTTTTTAGATCTTTCACAAGAATCTGTTTCATGACCTTTGTCAAGAAATTCTTTCTGATAAAATTTTTTAATTATGTAATATAATTTCCTCATAGACAATGTAAATATATGTCCTCATATTGTCAGTGGATATAAAGACCAGGTAGTCAGGATCCTCATACATGTAAAGAGATGTTAGTATTGCTTCTTTAAGTTTAGGCTTGAAAGTTTCTCAAGTTTTGCTCCTATCCCATCCCTCCCTCCCGCGAGTGCTCAAATCCTCCTATGGATTCCTCAAATCAAAAACCAAACACACTTCCAGAAAGTAGAGTCTGACTCATGCCAGAGGTAAGTTTGGATCTCAAGTCTATTATTACAGGGGATTGAAGAACCAAATTATCATAGAAGATGAAAAATGCCCCTCCTCATAGCCTATGCCCTTGTCTGCCCCCAGTTTTATAAACTAAGGTCACTGGGTCTTCTCCGTATCCTGTGGCAGCAGAGAAGGAGGTCTGGGCTGATCAAACAGCCATGTGCTAAATCAGTCCCCAGGCTTCCCTGAGCTCACAGCTACCCTGGTGAGAGCTCTGCTAATTTGTCACAAAATGTTCCAGGGGAAAACCATGGAGCAGGAAAACTGGCCTGCCCCCAAGATGTCAGAGGTCTTTTCTCTCTGAGATAAGATCTCTTAAGCACAGCATGCTTATTAACACTTAGCCAAGAAAAACGAACCTCTTCCTTGAGCACAGAAATAGCCTTCAGGAATTACAATACACAAAGATATCCACTCTCTCACAGAGAGAAACAGAGTTTAATTGGGCCCACTGTGTGACCCATTCTGCTAAAAGTATGGGATTGTTCCTGCAAGTGTTTCTGCTATTTAAAAATAGTCATGCCACACACCCAATGGTTCATGTCAAAGCTGTTTGCACCCAGAAAAAACAGAGGGTCCCCTTAATCCACCCCCCCCCTGAACTCCTTAAATAGCAAAATCACACAAAATTATGAAATGGCTCTGTTCAGAGACTGATTTAAGAAATTTGACAAAAATTAAAAACATTTTTTTTTCTTTTCTAATTTACTATAGTTTGGGTTCATATTTCATTTTATGGGGAAAAAACTATCCTAAAGCAAACAGTACAAGAAATGCAGATTCACCTTTCATGAAGTCGGGACTCTGATTCCTTCAGCTTGGTCTTTAGGTGCCTCACTGTAACCTCTTTCTGCTGCAGAGGAGTCAAATACTGCTCTGGATTTGGGGGTTTGACACCATGATTTTCTCCGCAAGACATATACCTTCCAGACCGTCTGAAATAATCCAAGTAATTAAATGTTACTTTTTGCCCTGTATCCTCTTCTATAAAAAGAAAAGTAACACACAGTATTACGGACTGAATATTTATATCCCCCCAAAATTCAAATTTTGAAATCCTAACCCCCAATGGAATGGTCTAGCAGATGGAGTCTTTGGGAGGTAATTAGGTCATGAGGGTGGAGCTCTCATTAAGAGGATTAGGGACCTTATAAAAGAGACCCCAGAGAGCTCTTTCCTCTTTGCACCTTGGGAGGATACAACAAGAAGTTAGCAGTCTGCAACCCAGAAGAGAGCCTTCCTCAGAACCAGGCCAAGCTGGCACACTGATGTGGGACTTCCAGTTTCCAGAACTGTGAGGTACACACTTCTGTTGTGTATAAGCCACCCAGTTTATGGTACTTTGTTATAGCAGCCCAAACCGACTAAGACATACAGCTAACATCTTGAGAAGGAATGGCAGCTGTGTGTTGCGTCTGAAACCTCAATAATGGGTGACCTCACTTCAGAAGGTGGACTACAATATGCCTGCCAATCTTAGGACTGTTAATTACTTAGAAGATTGAGGAATGTCTGTGTCTTTGTGCAGGGGGTAGGGACAGGGAGAGAGAGGATTTTCTATGGCTTAGGAATGATCTCATTCAAAATAATGCACAATTGTCCACAGGCCTGAGCTGTCAGTTCAAAATAACATGCTGCTATGTTAAAGGACAATGAGTGCGGGAGGCAGGAGGGTAGGAGAGGAACGAGATGATCTAACTTTCCATATAATACGCTGCTGCCTAAAGATCCTGATTGTTCCGTGCACTGGCCAGAAAAAAATCCTGGTTGTTGCTAGTTAAATTAAAATTGTTCTGAAATCAGTCCCTGATGTGAATGTGATGATTTGGTGGAAATGGAAAGTTCTTTGCTCTGAAGGGAACCAGTTCCTTCTACTTCACTGTCACCAGTGTGTTTTTGAAATGAGGTACTCAAAGTTCTACAAAAGAGCCCTAGCTGGAATCTCGGTCCCTCTCAGGCCAAGATTCTGGGCATCCCTGCTGTAAGAGAGCTGATTAATGAGAACAGGGACGTCCAGAAGGAAGGAGGAGACTGAGAGAGGAGGCTGCCAGCTTCTTCCCGAACTCTGGACCCAAGCCAAGCCACTGCGCCACTCTGCGCCACTGAGCCTGCACTCCATCCAAGATGCCTGTGTCCAGTTCCCAGCCCACCCATCCTCCTGCGGTGGCTTTGGATGTGCAGTTCCGTCTTTCTGTTCCACAGTCCCTGCAACCCCATACTAATTAAGTTCTTGCTTGCCTTTAAGATCTCCCTCCAATTTCACTCTCTAAGGGAGTCCTCCCCAATTCCTCCAGACTAAGGTGAACCCCCTCCCCACCTTTTACACACTCATATAGCAGCAAGAACTTGCAGAATAATTTTAATTTGTTTTTGCCATTAGATGGTGTATTAGTTTATTTCTGTTGCTTATAACAGAATATCTGAAACTGAGTAATTTATAAAGGAATACAATTTATTTCTTACAGTTTTGGAGGCTGGAAAGTCCAAAGGCCAGGGAACATATCTGGTGAGGGTCTTCTTCTGGGTGGGAACTCTCTACAGGGTCTTGTGGCAACCAGGGTGTCACATGGCAAGAATGGGCTGAGCAAGAGAGCCAACCTTCTCACTCACTCACCTTATAAAACCATCAGAACCACATCCATTACCCCATATATGAATCAATCCATTCACAAAGGCACAGTCCTCACAATCTAATCACCTCTGAAAGGCCCCACCCTTCAGATACTGTAGCTGGATTTCCCACCCTCTTAACACTGTTACAATGGAGATCAAGTTTCCAATACATGAACTCTTGGGGAACACATCTGACCCTTAGCAGATGATTAATGTTCTTCTCCTGTGGGCAGTAAGCACAGGGGCCATCTCTGTTGCTCACTGCTCTATTCCCAGTACTTAACACAGTACAGGTAGTTGCTGCACAATAAACATGAGGTGTGAGAATGAATGAACACATGTATGATTCTTCCCTGTTCTGAGGGAATAGGTCCCTCCTACTGCCACTGTAACATTCTCTCTCTATATCCAGTAACTGCCTGGACTGCTATACCTTGTTAAAAATTGTGGTTTGTGCTCTTTCTGCAGCAGCCCTTGAAGTATTAGCTGACCTTGGGAAAGGAGAGAGGTGTTTTATTGCAGAATAAGGCAGAGGATCAAGAGCTGTGTGTGTGTGTGTGTGTGTGTGTGTGTGTGTGTGTGTGTGTATATATATATATATATATATATATATATATATATATTTTTTTTTATTTTAAGGAAAAGCATACCAAGTTGGAAAAACTCAGAAGCATAAATTAGGAGGTGGACTTACCTCATGATGGGGCTGCAGTCACTTCCTTTGTAGGAGCCTGAGTTGCTACTACTTGGGGAAGAAGGTGCGTAACCAGGATGGATGTTAACAGGGCTCAACTGATTCCTGCACAGCATGGACAGAAGGTCCTTTTCTCGTGGGGAGGGTGGACTGCTGCCAGATTTGTACGATGAAGCTCCATTGCTCCGCCCATGCGGACCTCGACTGAGAGAAAAGCATGAAAAATGTTAAAATCCTTGGAGCTAGAGATGCCTGAGTGCTAATGTCTGACTCCTTAAACCTAGTTACTACTAAGGAAATCCAATTTATAGAGTCAGAAGGAGAAATAGAATTATTAGTGCAAACTGTCCTCATGAGCTGCCTCTTTCCACCTGTCTGGTATTCTCTCTCCTTGTATCATTAGCACAAGCAACCTCTCCCTCTGCTGTTCTCTCAAATAGTTTCTGACCATGAAGCTTGTTTTGGATTAAATCCAATTGCCTGCTAAGAATACACACCATGTAAAATATTGATTTGGCTTAGGTTTATTTTGGAGGCTGTTTCGAAGATGTGGTTTTTGTTCCAGTTACACCTGTTTCAGTTTAGAAATATATGGGGTTGGTTCATGTTGGGGTAAAAAATTTAAGGTGGTTCCTTTGGAGGATGGGGAGCATGGCCATTGCCCATAAAGAGGGAGGAGAAAACAGGAGAGATAAACAGAGCCCACAAAAATATATGAAGTCTATAATTTTTTTTTTTTCCTTTTTGTCTTTTTTTCATGTCCGGCAACAGATTGCAACCCTCAGTGTCGCGCCCATACCGGGCCGGGACCGGCAACAGGATCGCAACCCTCAGTGTCGCACCTGCACCTCGCTCAGCCAGTGAGCGGGAACCGGTCTGTATGTGGGATCTGAACCCTCGGCGGGAGCACTACTTCGCTCCCAAGTGGCGCACTGTAGCAGTGTGCCACCAGGCCAGCCCCGAAGTCTATAATTTTGACCACTTAAGTTTTTTCTTTTCTTTCCATCCCCAATGACTTAATACAACCTTTATCACTTAACTACTGAATGTTGTAAAGGCCCCTCTTAGTTTCCTGCCTCTTGCCTTGCCCCTCCAGCAAGAAGCTGACCTGTGGTTGCAGTGGCCTTTCTAAAATGGAATTTGAATATCGCTGCTCTCCTCAAAGACATTCAGTGGTTCACGTGCCTCTGGAATAAAGGCCAGACTACTTAAGATAGCTCACAAGGTCCAATCCCACCACTCATCCAGCCCCATCCACCACCACTCCTCCCACCCCGCAGGGTACTCCAGCAGTCCAAACAGCTTACAGTTTCCTGCAGGATTCATGCTCTTGATCATCCTTAGGGTTCTGAACTTATAATTTCTTCTGCCTAGAATGTTTTCCTCCTGCTCCCTTCCCTAAGTCCCTGGAAACCAGGATACTCTTACTTTGGGATTGACGGGAACCTTCTCCAAGCAGCCTTCTCTGAATTCTTCCTTTCCTAGGCCAGTGTAGGTGCTACTCCCTGGTGCTCCCTAATACTCTGTGCAGACTTTCCTCATGAAACTTATCGTATGGCATCACAATTGCATTCCTACTTGTCTTTACCACTAGACTGGACATCCTTGAGGGCAGGAACATGGCCTGTTCTTTCACATTCTCACTACTTCCTGGCACATGGTAGGTGCTCCCTAAATGACTGGTGAATGCATAAAATGGGTTTGAGTGCTGGCACTGCCACTTACTAGGAATTGAGGCAAGTAAGCCACTTAACATATGGTGATATGTATATTTATACTCTCATATATATAGCTATGTGTATATATATATATATATATATATATATACACGCACACACCTTTCCTGACTTCCTCACAGAATTGATGTGAAAATCAAATCAAAGAATGCATGAAAGTGCATTTGATAAGCTGTTATTAAGTACAACTCAACTGTAGACTATTATTACAAGATAAACTTGTTTGGACTTCCCTGTTAATCTAGTTCCAGAGATTTGCTACCCACTAGCGTAGGAAAGCATCTTGAGAATGTTGAAAGTACTGAAATAGGATAACAGTTCTGTGTCAGGAATCTTACTTGATGACATTACAAGAAAATAAAAGGGAACAAGGTAACTTGCATATAGCAGACTGCTTTTTGACAATCCCCTCTTTGGAATTTTAATTACAACTGTATTCAACTAACATATCTCAACAAGAAACATGTGTAAATATGAATGGGAGTGTTCTTGTGGGTATAACTTGGCTCCAAAACCATAATTACTTATTTAAAATTGAATATGATTTCAACTGGCTTTCAATGCATAAAATCATACATAAATGAAACATCACCAAATTCTAAAGTTAAAAGTTCTTTCATATTGACATTATCCAAATAGACTCTCCTTTTCATGAGAAGGGGACACTTTATATGGAACAGATGGGCTGATGGCTTTGTGACAAACCAACTTCAGCAGCACAGGGACGGGAACAACTTCATGAGTAGCTGCAGGGAATGTCTTCTGGCTTGGATTTTCTTCTCCATGCTTCACTCCTAAGTCTGGCACCAACCAACCTGACTATTTCTCAGTGTGACCATGAGATATATGGAGGATTAACCATTACAAGTTAGGAGAAAATTAGCTAACCCTAATTTTGACCTAGGGAGTTTTGTTGAGTTAACCTTTGCTGAGGAACTTCTGTGACCCTTGTGCTGTTCCAGGCACTTTATGAACATAGTTTCACTTCTCTTTGGCATCAGCCTATAAGGCCAGTACAATCACTAACTCCCTCTTACACTCGAACTCACTGAGTCTCAGGGGAGATAACTGGTCCATGCATACACAGGTGAAATGGGATTCAAATGCAGATCTTCTAATTCTACAGAAATGTCTCACATTTTATACATATG